GATACGGAAAATCAGAAGGATTATAATACTACTAATAATCAGCCCCCAAAAAAACGCTATAAACATAAACTGTTGGCGCTCCGAGCGGGTTTCATGGATCTGCGGTGGAATACCCCTCCCTGGCGCGCGGAGCGCGCCTTTGGACGCCTGGAATGGGTACGGAAATAATGGGTACAATGCCTAACAACAAATGTTGTCCCAAACCAACAGCGGCCGCTGTTGGGCAGGCGGCCCTCTGTCTCGAATGGGCACGGGCCGCGGCGGCGTGGACAGCGAGTCATGTGCAAGATGAACAGGAACTGCTGTTGGGCATCGTACCCATTCTTTCCGTACTCATTTCGGGAATCCAGACGCAAAGGCCAGGCGTTGGCAGAACTGGGTTTATAGGAACCTGGTTTAGTAATCTGTACCGGGGGCGCCCCCCACTAACCAGAACTGCCGTCACACGAAAAGCACCAGTTACGGCAAACCTGGTTTAGTGAATCTGGCCAATTGAGGGGCCCCAGGGCCCTACCACTAACCGGGTCCCATTACCCGGGGTCCTGGCTATATCCGAAAGGGGTTCTTCCACGGGGGGAAGGGGATCTCAGATCTTGGCGCCGGTGGGAATTCTTGGGCCACCCAGGAAGCCCCAGTCGTAGCAGCATCCCCGAGGTCGGGATCAGCTTCCCTCGGCGGAGGCAAGCCGCCGGTACTGGTGGCCTCCCAGATGGGGTCCGAGTAGACAGGGACGGAGATCGCCCATGCACTGGCGATGCACCAGCGATGCAGCGTCGACATCAGCGATACACTGGCGACGTCTGCGTCTAGAAAATCGGGAGCTACATCAAGCCGCATCGCCAGTGCATCGGCGATGCGGCGCGAACCTCCGACCACATCTATTTCCCAACCATCCTGTGGAGTAGGGTCCTCCTTTTCAAGAGACAGCGACCCGCGTTCCTCACTCATTCTCTCCTCCTCCTCCTTCTCCCTTCTCCCATCCCTGCCTCTGCCTCCCGCATGTTTCTGTCTGCAAACCTTGCACGTCCACTTCGGCACACCCCTCACACGCTTCGTAGCCCCATAGGGAGCTCCACCGAAGGTCCCAGAAGCACCGTTCGCAGGCGTCCCCGCCACCCATGTCTGCACACTTTTCACACTCTTCGTGGCTTTATAAGGAGCTCCACCGAAGGCCCCAGTGGCAGGGTCCGCATGCGTCCTCGCCACTAATTCGGCACACCCCTCACGTCACCATGTGGAACTCCTCCGAAGGTCCCAATGGCACCGTTCGCACGCGCCCTTGCCACTCATGTCGACACATCCCTCACACGTGTCGTGGCCCCAGAAGGAGCTCCACCCAAGGCCCCACTGGCACCGTTCGCATGCGTCCCTGCCACCCATTTTGGCGCATCACTCAAACGTTTCGTGGCCCCATGTGGAGCTCCACCGAAGACCCCAATGACACCGTTCGCATGCGCCCCCGCCACCCTTTTCAGCACACCCCTCACACGCTTCGTGGCCCCATAGGGATTGAAGGTCCAAATGGCATCGTTCGCATGCGTCCCCGCCACCAGCTTCGACACACCCCTCACACGTCTCGTGGTCCCGTAGGGAGCACAAGTCCCTCTGGCACCGGTCGCATGCGCCCCGCCACCCTTTTCGGCACACCCCTCACACGTTTCTTAGCCCCATCGGGGGCTCCACCCAAGGATCCAGTGGCGTCTCTCGCATGCGTCCCCACCACCCATCCCGGCACACCTCTCACACCTCTCACAAGTTTCGTGGCCCCATAAGGAGCTCCACGCTGTACTCACGACGGCATATGGAAGGGTTCCTTCGGCAACCTATGTTTCGAATCCGACCACATCTGGGAAGCCATCTGAGAACCGCCGATGCTGGTGCTGGTGCCGACCTCTGTGCCTCTGGCCTGGGACCCGGGCAGCCTTGGCCCCCTCGGCCCCTTCGAGCACAACACGTGCGGCCTGCTCCAGAACGGACACCCACCGCAGACGGACCTATAGCTCCTCTCCGACCCTGCCCTGCGCCGAGCGCCACGGCCGCGCCGTCCATATGGACGCATCCACCCCCGAACGTGTCCGTATGCGCAACGACACCCACCGTGCCTAGAAACCCTTGTGGCCAGCAAGCGGAGGAGGAGGAGGAGGAGGAGGAGGAGGAGGAGGAGGAGGAGGAGGGTAGCCGCTGTGGCACAGGCCCAAGAGAGTTGTCTCCTGCGAGGCATGCAGGCTTTTGTTTGCCCTCCGACCTCGGCCGCCCGCGGCGGCGCGGCCGCCGCGAGCACGACGCTCAGGCCGCGCAGGGTGGCGCGCAGGCCGTCGGCGATGACCTTGTCGAGGCCAACCCGCAGCTGGTCGCGCGCATGCCGCCGGTCGCCGTCCTGCTTCTGCTCTTCGTCCTCCTCGCTGGAGGCACGGTTACCAGCCTGGAACATACCCCTATCCCTATGCTGGGCACCTCCTCATCACGATGCCAATCTTAGGGACTCCCTCATTTTTTGAGGGCGGATCCCTAAGATTGTCATCGCCTTTTGGCGTGTCAGTCTTAGGGATAGGGATACGTTCGAGGCTGGTAACATGGGCCAGGGGTCTACCAACACAGCGTGTGTGCGTTATCGTGCAGGCTTCGTTCAGAAGGGCTTTGATGCGCAAACGGCCCGTCCGATGACCCAAAGCAGCGTGTTGGCGCAAATCCGACATCGTGGATGGCCGATGGTAGGCCGTGTCACGAAAACAAAACGAAAGCGAGGAGACATCGGAGTGCAAAAAAAACAACGTGCTGGTCGACCCCTGGCATAAACATGAGCAGTTGGAGGCCCGCGCGGCATCCGCACGGACCTACGTCTGCCCGCTCACTCGTCCCCCTTTCCCAGGGAACAGATCACCAGAGCAAGGCACCCTGTCCTAGCAGCAGAGGTGAAGGGGGCGGGCCGAGGAGTCGATCGGCCAGGGAAGCGGTGCGATCCTGGGCATCCCTGGGGACTCCTAGGTGCCAGGGGTGAGAGCACGGCCAGTGTGCACAACAGTATACACTCGTGTCGGCGATCCTGGCCGTGTGACCAGGGTGGGAGTGCGGCCACGTGCGCCGCAACGCATCTGTCACACGGGAACGCGGCCGTCCGAACCTAACATTCAGCCCGCACTGGGGCGAGAACGCGAGTCCCGCATTGATTGTGAGGACTTCTCTGTCGAGACGGCTGCCCGCATCGAGCAAGCACGGGCTCCCCGCCTCCCCTGTGGGTTTCTCTTTTGTTGTCCTCTGTGGACGTGAAAATCCTCTGGCGAAACGGTACGTCACCGCTTTCTGATTCGGCATTTCGACATTGGGCGGAAGGAGGGGGGAGGGGGGGGGTCTGGCTCCGGATCTCTGCTTCATGCGACTTGTTGCAGCAATGCGTCCCATGGGGAAGCTCCACCTGCTCGAAACAGGCACCAAAAGCGGCCAAGATCTGCTCCCTGGGGGGGAGGGCGGGCGAGGACCCGCGCCGATCGGAAAAAAAGAATGAATAAGAACACGATCGCTACTCGGGAAAAGACGCACACCTACGCTTAGGTCGGGCATGTCCCCCTACAGGCGGATCCTGGGCGAAATGCAAGATACTCCAAAAATCGACTCAAGTAGCGTAAAAAAAACTCAAAGCATCTTCCCCAGACTATCTTGTGACTAGTTTCGGATCTTCCCCCTGCAGAGGGACAGGCCCGACTGAAACCCTGAGCGTCCTGCGAGCCGCTCGGACGGGATCTCTTGGAGCGGCGCCGGCCCCCCCCTGGCGTGCTCCGCGCGCCAGGGAGGGGGGGAGGCAGCGCCGGCCAACAGGGAGTCCGCGCGGACCTCCGCCACATCATGTTTACAGGAGGGCCTGTCCCCCTACAGGCCGATGTTCGAGAAAGATTAGTGCTACAAGACAAAACAAAATCTTAGAAAAATAGGCCCCAGACTATTTGTGGACAATTCTTTGATACTCATCCCGTAGAGGGGCAGGCCCGACTTAATACAAGCGGGCTGCTGCAATGAGGGATGATCAATAAGGAACGAAACCCCTGTGTTCCAAGTCGAGCCGTGGAATCCGACGAAACGGCCCTACAATGCGAAGGAAAACCGGAGGGGCTCGCCACCAAAACGGAAATGCAACGCATACGAATCCAATGTAAAAAAACCGAGCCCCTTCCCGACCTAGAACTGGACCTAACATCAACGAATGAACTGGATATGCCTTTAGTGTTCTGCTCCTCGTCGCGCAGCAGCCCCTCCGCCGCGAGCATGCTGCCCCGCACCAACTGGCGGTGCTGCAGCTCCGTCTGCCTCGCCAACCAATCGGCATCATCCTGGTCGTGAACCGCGACCTCCACCTTCTGTGGCAACCCATGGGAGAATCCCATACCATCTTGTTGGCTCTTGCGAATCGGCGCTAACCGACGCCAACTCGACGACAAGTCGACGCCAATCGACGCTACCTCGCCGCCCCTATCAGCGACTACCAAACGCTAGCGCACGCTAATGCACTCTGAAGACGGAAGTCCAGGGGCATAAAGGCTCCCATGATTTGCTACCGACAACCTCCACACCCTCCACGTCCACGCATACGGAGCTCCGCCGCAGCGACTTCCAGGGCACCTTCAGGGACACGCGCCTGCAGTAGACCCGGCGCAGCTCGAGCGTGTAGGGCAGCGCCCCCACGAGGAGGTCCGCCACCGCGCCGAGGTCCAGCTCCACGTCGTCCAGGGTCAGCTTGCCCGAGGCGAGGCGCGAAGTGTGGACCTCGAGGCCTCCTAGATGGGGTCGGAATGCATGGGGTCGGAGGATCGCGCCGCATCGCCGATACATCGGCAATGCATCGGCGATGCATCGGCGATGCATCGGCGATGCACCGGCGATGCACCGGCGATGCATCGTCGACGTGGAAGAAGCATCGGCGACGTCGACGTGAAGCAGCTCGGGCTCCACATCGAGCCGCCTCGCCGATGCACCTCCGCTGCGGCACCATCCCCCGACCCCGTCTGCGCCGACCCCCTCGTGGAGGCCCAAGCGGACCTGGTCCGAGCTGAGGCCCTTGACGTACTGCTTCAGCCACCGCGCCAGCAGCCCCTTCAGCATCCGCCCCCCGGGATGCCGCGGCGGGCGCCCGCGCGCCCGGCGGTCGCCCCGCCGGGGGCCATGGCGGCACCTCGCCGCGCCCCCGCGACCGCGAGCCCGAATGGCTACGGTCCACTCCTCGTTCGTCCAGGGTCTCCTAGATGGGGTGCGAGCAGATGGGGTCGAAGCATCGCGCCGCATCGCCAATGCATCGCCACTGCATCGGCGATGCCTCGCCGACGTCGGCGATGCTCTGGCGATGCGCATCAGCCGCATCGGGCTCCAATGCAATGGTCGCCGCTGCGTGGAGGAGCACGGGCTCCACATCGAACCGCATCAGTGATGCATCGGCGATGCGGCGCGATCCTCCGACCCCATGCACTCCGACCGCATCTAAGAGGCCTAGATTCATCGGCTACACAGATGCCCAGTCCTGCTCGCGTCCAGGAGAAATCAAGACGGAGGTGCTTCCCAAAATTCGGTCTCTGTGGGAGCTATACCGGGCCTCTGGGGGCCGTCAAAGACGACTCGAGATGTAAAAAGCGGCCCCTGGGAAAGGGTGAGGACTTCGGGGGGCCGCATGTGGAAGAAATCAGGGTATCGCATCTTTGGGCCTTCAGTTTGGCTACACGCAAGAATGCCGCTAGGCTCTCGTGACACCTGGATGCGGGGTTGTAGGGCGGGAGTGGGGAGGCCACGCCCAAGCGCGAGCAAGCCGCCGCTGTCGAGTCACATGCGGCGACCGCGGGACCCTGGTGGGCCCGACCACGGGTCACTCCTCCTCCCCCACGCCCTCCACCTCCTCCTCCCCCTCCCCCTCCACTCCCCCTCCGCTCCTCCCCTCCCCTTCCCTCCCCTCCCCTCCTCCCCTCTACACAACGCGTCCTCCCTTCCTCCCCCTCCTCTTCCCTCCACGGCCCCCGCCTCCTGCCTCCCTCCCCGCCCCTTCCCTCCATCCTTTCGCTTCCCTTCGCCGCAGCCATTGTTGTCGCCGCTGCCTCGTCGCTGTCGTCCCTGGCGCCGTAGTGTCGCCGCGCCGTCGTCATATCGCCGCGTCGCGGGCGCGGGCTCGGGCGCGCCCGACGCGGGGCGACCACTGAGCGGGCGCGACGGACGCCCAACCCGAACGAAAAGAGAAGGAGATACGACGCACCGGTTGAACCGGCTCAGGGGCCCTCACCACGAGCGCGCTGCATGAGATGGCGCACGGAGCGCCCTGAAAACCGTCCACCACGGCGGCAACTAGATGGGCAACGGTGGCAGAAAATTGACAAGATGGAGGGACGAGACAAATCTAACAATCCGCCAAGAAAGACAAACAAACAAATGGAGGAAGGAGGGATATCAAACAATCTCCCAACCCCCAACTGCATGGGGGCACGCGGCACGTCAGCTGCTTCGCTGCCCCTAAGAGGGTCCTAGGGCAAGGGATCTGGCGAAAACGCCCGGCGAAGGAGCTACAATAGGGGAGCGAAGCATGACGTAAACATGAAAACCCGGAGGTCAGCGCGGATTTCGTGGATCGGCGTTGGATCCCCCCTCCATGGCGAGAGGAGCGTTCCATGGGCGGCGCCGGAAGCGCCGCCAGGGGGGTCCAGCGCGGATCCGAAAAAATCCGCGCGGACATCCGCGTTTGTATGTTTATGTAATTTGTCTCTCCCCTAAAAGCGACCCGCGCGAAGGAGCTCCAAAGCCCCCGTGGCCGCTCCCGCTGGCGTGCAACCTGAGCCTTTTTTTCCCCCCTCTGCAGACGCGGGCCCCCCTGCCTCGCTCGGGGTGACATAGAAGACGCGGGTTCGAGGAGCTCGGGCGGTCATTGCGGGCCGCCAACGAACCAAACAAACAACAACAATCACACGAATCACAACAACAACATCATCAGCAACAACAGTATCGGCGGCAACAACAACAAGCACAACAACAGCACCAACAATAGCATCATCACAATACAACAACAATCATGTTAAGACTCCTCGCTCTTATCTGCTCGCGCGCCACCCAATGAGTATATCCCAAGCCCTGGACACCCGCCCTCTTCGTCTACGATCGTACCCCCTTTTGGGGGGGCATGATCATTCCCTGCCACGCGTGGTTGGCGAATCCATCGAAAACAAAGGGCAGCGGACAACGGGGGGCAATGAGGACGAAGGGATCGGAGGAAGGGAGGGGGGGCAAAAAGGAGGAAGGGCGATGATTTGCGCTGCGAATGGCGATTCAGCTAACGCCATGGTTTGCGCCAACCACTCCAACACAGGTTGGCAATAAATTTCACCGTGGGTCGCGCCATAAACCGCGCCACGCACCACGCCCTTGAAGAGGGGCAAAATCATGGATACCCCCGCGGCGGGGACGCACAACTGCGAACCAGTGTCAGAAACAAACTTCGCGGAACCCTGACAAGAAGCGGGGCTCTTGGGGAGCGGGGCGGAACCGCGGAGAAAACTGCAACCGGGGGGGCGAGGCGGAACCGCGGCTAGAGGGGCGCGGGGGCGCGGAGTGGATTAGGGCGGAGTGGGCAAGAGTGGGTCTCGGGAGGAAGAGCGGCCAGGAATGGAGAAGAGGAACCGGGAGGGCTGCGGAGGAGCGGGTGGCGCGCGGAAAACCTGGAAGAACGGCTAGGAATAATTTGGGGGACGTGCGGAATGCGAGCGGGGCGGGGTGGAGATTGTCGGAGCGGGGCGGGGCGGCCCGGGGAGGAAGAGGCGGAACGCGAACAACCAAAGAATAGCACAATGGAGTACGAACGACATGAATATGAAGAGGGGAAGAATAAAGAATATCGGGGAAGAGCGTTGGAGAGAAGGGGCAGGTGGATGCGAGCGGAAAATGGCGCGGAAACAAGGCGCGGAGGGATTGGAAGGCGCCCGAAAGAATCCCATGACCTCTTGGGGGGCCTCGGAATGGCCCCGATGACCACCGAGCACCCCCAGAGGCTCCGAAAACCTGCAGGAATGCCCCAGGGGCCTCGTCGAGGGGGGCCTTCATTCGAAGCCTGCAGAAGAACCTGGACCAGCGGAACACGCGCGTCCCAAAGGCCGTCAAACCGGGCCCGGGCAAGCGGCGAACCGTCGGCCTGGCCCGTGGCAGCGCTGGCGACGCACGCGCCGACCCGCAGCAACCCGACCCCAAAATGGACAAACAGCGGGCTCACTACGACGACGACGACCACGACGGGAGGAGGGAGGCGGAGGAAGAGGAGGAGGGAGGTTGAGGCGGAGGAGGAGGAGGAGGAAGAGGTTGAGGTGGAGAGGAGGAGGAGGAGGAGGAGGAGGAGGAGGAGGAGGAGGAGGAGGAGGAGGAGGACGAGGAGGGGGAGGAGGGAGCGAGGGAAGGAGGGAAGGAGGGAGGAAGGGAAGGCGGAGAGGGAAAAAGGTGGGGGCTGAATGGCCGACAGGCAGGCCCGCGGCAGGCGGCGAGGCAGTCACACGGATTATCGGCCTGGCTGGCTGAAGGGTCGGAGTGCCGGGTTCCAGGCGGCAGGCGGGCCCAAGGGAGGCGGCCACGGACGATGGCGACGACGACGACGACGACAATGACGATAAGGGGAGGGAGGGAGGGAGGGGGAGGAGGGAGCAAGGACGGACAAAGGGACGGGAGGGACTGCTGCCAAAGGGGAGAGAGAGAGAAAGAGAACAAAAAAGAAAGAAAGAGAAAGAAAGAGAGAGAGAGAGAGGGATAACAAAAAATGTGTGAGAGAGAAGGAAAGAGAGAGAGAGAGAGAGAGAGAAAAAAAGAGAGAGAGAGAGAGAGAGCGCACGAAGGGCGCGAGCGAGCGGGAGCCACGAGGGCCAATTAATCTGGGGCCGCAAAGGGCAGCGACGGGGCCGCTGGGGGCAGCAACGGGGCCACGAAGGGCAGAGAAGGAGCCACGAAGGGCGACAGCGGGGCCACGAAGGGCATGCATATGGGGCCACGACGGGCGCGAACGAGCGGGGGCCACGCAGGGCATGTGTATATGGGGGCACAAAGGGCGACAACGGAACCATTGAGGGCAGCAGCGGGGCCACGAAGGGCAGCGAGCGAAGGCGACCGCGGAACCAGTACGGGCAGCGAGGGGCATCGAAGGCGGGCGAAGGGCAGCGAGCGGCGAATGCAGTCCCTAACGGGCTGGTCGGGCGGGCAGGCCCGGACGGGCGGGTCAAGCTGGCGGGTCGTTGAAACGTAAATTCTGCTTGAACCGCCAAGCAATATGTAGCGGAAGCGCGATTCTTGAAGAAATTATCAAAAACATATCGGGCGGGAGCCACGATTCGGTGGGAAGTCGCGAAGAAGTCCCAAGCGAGAACGCGATTAGTCAATACATTGTTAGGAAGTATCAAGCGGGAACCGCGATCCGGTGGTAAATTGCAAGGAAGTCCCCAGCGAGAGCGCGATTCTTCAATCAACTGTCAGGAAGTATCGGGCGGGAGCCATTGTTGTTAGCCCGGAGCCAGCGACACAGTTTGACGCTCCAGACCTTCCCTGATAACACACACAACGTGCGAGCCCCGGGAAGAGCACTTCAATCGAAAAAACAATGTGCACCGGACGGGGGGATCAACAATACATATTCTTCAGAAGCGACAGTTCAACAACAACAACAACAACAACAACAACAACAACAACAACAACAACAACAACAACATCAACAACAACAACAACAACAACAACAACAACAACACTCATTATGTTAAGACTATTCGCCCAAATCTGCTCGGGTGCCCAATTACGCGTATTTCCCAAACCCTCGATACCCGCCCTCTTCGTCTTCGATTGAACCCCTTTTGGGGGGTATACCTTTCTTCCCTGCAGGCCCCGGTAAGCGGCGGGGCGGCCGCGAACCGTCGGCCTGGCCAGCGGCACCGCTGATCGGCGGGGCGGTCGCGGACCGTCGATCCGACCCCAAGAGGGACGGACTGGGGACCGACCACGACGACGTCGACGACGACGGCGACGACGACAAGCGAAAGCGAGAGCAAGAGAGAACGACAGCAGGGCCACAATGACACGAAGTAGGCCACGGAGGGCGACAGCGGGGACACGAAGGGAATGCGTATGGGGCCACGAAGAGCGCGAACGAGCGGAGGCCACGAAGGGCAGATAATGCGGGGCCACAAAAGGCAACGATGGGGCCACTGGGGGTAGCAACTGGGCCACGCAGGACAGTGAGGGGGCCACAAACGGCGACAGCGGGGCCACGAAGGGCATGCACATGGGGCCACAACGGGCGCGAACGAGCGGGGGCCAAAAAGGGCATTCGTATACTGGGCCGCGGAGGGCAAGGACGGGGCCACTGAGGGCAGCAACGGGGCCACGAAGGGCAGCGAGGGGGCCACGAAAGGCGACAACGGGGCCACGAAAGGCATGCATATGGGGCCACCACGGGCGCGAACGAGCGGGGGCCTCGAAGGGCACACGTATATGGGGCCACGAAGGGCAGCGAGGGGGCCACGAGAGGGATGCAACGGGGCCACGAAGGGCAGCGAGGGGGCCACGAAGGGCTGCAACGGGGCCACGAGATGGGCGACGGGGACACGAAGGGCAGCGAGGGGGCCACAAAGGGCTGCAACGGGGCCACGAAACAAAGCGAAGGGGCTACGAAGGGCTGCAACGGGGCCACGAGAGGCAGCGAGGAGGCCACGAGGGGATGCAACGGGGCCACGAAGGACAGCGAGGGG